TGTCATGTGCCTTGGCTCGAGCTTAGCTGTGAGGTCCTGCAAGGGAGATGCTCAGACCCCTCTAGAACTGGTGGGATTTGGGGAATTCTGGGCTGGCTGCAGCCCAGGGTGCTGTCTGTGTGCTGCAGGGTGACGTTGCTGGCACACGTCCTGCCTGGCTCCTGTTACCCCTCCCTGGGCTTTGTTTCCCTCTGGACTCGGTGGGACTGCTGGTTTCTCCAGCCTGCCAGGGGTCCCTCAGGATGGCAATGTGCCCACCTGGTCCATCAGCTGCTCCCAGAGTTCTGGGTTGCCCTCAGAGCTCCGTCCCATCACCCAGATCATCAGTGAGGGTGCCAAACCACGTTGGCCCCACATGAACTGCTGTGTAAAGGGGGATTTCTTTTCCCCAACAGAAAGTGGGCCCAGTCTCTGCTGCCTTTCCCAGAATTCTGTCACAATCTGCCTCATTTCAGGCTGAAACAAGTGTTTCAGGATTTCCTGTCTGCTCAAACCAGGGTGGGGAATGTGGAATGATAGGGAAGAGAGGAGCAGTTGGCTCTGTTGGTGACAGGATCACATCAGCTGGAGAGACTGAGCTGAAGAGGTGCAGATTGATCTGCTCTGAGGATCTGGGAGAGGAAGAGAAACTTGGAGCAGCAAAGGGCAGACAGAAGGCAGGTTTAAAAAGTAGGAAATAATAAAGTAAAACCCACTGGCAGCGCTTTCAGGTAGTCAAGAGTTTCTGCAGTTGGAAAGACTTCACGTTGTGCTAAGGTCACCCACAGAGGCTTCTTAAAAGGGACATTTTGCCCTTGTGCAGTTCTTATTCTGCTGTCTTGGCAACTCTGATATGTGCACTGAGGTGTTAGAGAGCTCTTCATCTTCCCCAGAAAGCCACTGAGTGCCTGTGCTGGTCACTGGAGGGAGGGAGCGGCCCCAGGTCCTGCTGAGCTCAGGGCTGGGATGCTCAGCCCCTGCCAAGCCCTGGCAGAGCTCTGTCACTGATAAAGCTACTCTGGGGTGCAGCAGGGGAGGATTAATGTGTTTGTTTTGTCGTGGATGCAGGGCTGGGTTTCATTCAGCACCAGGATTAAGTCAGGCAGTGAACTCTGCAGTGATTTCTCAGGGAATGGGGTTGTGCTGGGAGGGGTTTTGCCCCCCTGAGGATGTAAACCTTGCTGTGTCCTCCTCACATGGGACAGCGTCCTCTGACACCCTCAGGCACAGGGTGGGTTGTGGGGGTGTCCTGTGCAGGGCCAGGAGCTGCACTTGGATTGTGGGTCCCTTCCAAGCCAGAGTGTTCTGTGATTTCATAGTGCTGTTGTGTGTGCCCAGAAGAGGAATTACAGCTTCACCCTCCTCGTGCAGCCAATGTGGGGATCATCCAAAGGGATTAATCAGCAGCAATAGGCAGTTGCAGGATTCTGGCTTTGCCATCCCCATCTCAGTCACATCCAGCTTCACCAGCAACCACTTTGTCAGATCAAACAATATATTAAACATATTTAATATTATCCTAACTGGTGGTTGGGGGTCTCCTGAGTGCTTGTCTGATGGCAGTTTTTGTTCTTCACGCAGAAAATAACTTACCATTTTTTCACCACAGAATGGTTTGGGTTGGAGGGGATCTTAAAGAGCATCAAGTTCCAACCCCAACCATATTGTGCATGTTCATATCCTGGGGTGTTTCCACACAGTTCACCCTCCCAGAGACCTGCAAGCCTCACCTCTGCCCAGCATCACACCCCTGCTGTGGTTCAGTGGGCTGAGGAAGTTCCCAAGCAAATACAGATTTTGTCAATGTAAATTGGGAATTCTGGGGAAGACGAAACTGGTTCTGTGAAGCTGCTGCTCGGATTGCACCTCTGATAGCTTAGCTTTTTTGGGGGGGCTGGGCTTGGAGTTGGGTGGGGGTGGCACATTTTGTATGACTTGTGTCTTCCCTCAGGTTTGGGATGGAGGTCAGGGGGCATCACCTGTGCTGAATATTCTGTTCCTGGGCAGGGGGGGGAGCTGGGGGAGCTCTGGGATCTGTGTCGGAGCATCCCCATCCCGGGGGATGAGTTTGTTACCGCGGTGATTTGTGATCTAAATCAAAGTTAACAAGGGTGGCAGGACGTGCTGCCTCTCTGCAGTCTGTGCAGATGGGGGTGTGCTCTGTAATGCTCAATCTGTGCCTTCCTGCAAGATGGACTTAAAAGGATCAAGCTGTTGCTCTCTCCACCACAGTCCTGGTGGCTTTCAGCGTCTGCAGCGCGGCGTCTTTTTGGTCGCATTAAAATCAAGCTGTGAACAAAAGCAGGTTATTGATTCTTTGAAACAGAAGGATTCTTTGGCAGGCACTTAATGAGCTCAGAACACTTCCAGTTTCTGATTTTTTCGAAGGGTGTTGAAGTTGTAACATCTCGGTTAGCACATGGCAGGGGAGCCTGCAAAGCCTCAGAGTCCTTGGGGATTAATCTGTTCCCGCCTGAGCAGGGTTTTGGGCGAGGTCTCTGCTGGCTTTGGCTGCCTGGATTGTTCCCCAAAACCTTTTGTGGCCTTAGGAGTGAGCAAAGAGAAGAGGGTCTCCCTCCAACAGACATTTCTTGCTGTTGGGCTGGGGGGGGATTTACTGGGGTGACTCTCATCACCCCCAAACCAGCCCCTTCAAAGGCTCAGCTCCTCGCTGAGAACAGCAGTGATTTATGTGTGGCTTTGGTTTTCTTTCAGTCCCAGCCTGCCTGGTGCACCTGCTGTGTCAGTGACCTGTAAACACAGCTCCTCGTGGCTGTTCCTCTGCAGATGAGAAGCGTCACTGCAGAGAACGTGTGTTAAATAAATCTGCCACTCACGGGTGCTCCGGGGCTTCCTCTGCTACTGCTACTGCCCCTGGTCAGAGCCCAGAGCAGGGAATTTCTGAAGGCTCTGGGTGAAGTTCTGTCACCCCTGGCTGTTCTCTTCCACCCTGACTCTTCACCCACACTGTGAGGCAGGGACAGCAAACCCCACCTGTGACAGCCCTCCAGGTGAACCCACGGAGGTGACTGAGGGGAAGGTTGTCCAGCTCATTTCCAAGGTATTCCTGACTCATCTCTCCCTTGCAGAGACAGCACAGGCAGCATTACAATAAAAATTACATTACTAGATCCGTAGCAATGTCATTAATGTCAGTTCTGAGTCCATGGAAAGGGGGCAGAGGCTCTCAGGGAGCTGAAATTGTTCCAGTACTGAGAGAAACCTTATTCTGCAGCCCAAGTTTATTGCATTCTTTAACTACTGTATGGAAAGAGAGGAAGGAACCAACCCCAGGCCCCCAAGATATGTTCCCCCCATAATATCCATATTTATCATGTACCTCCCTTCACCATCAGTTTCCCACAGCTCTTCAAAGATCATTGTTTCCTGGCTGCTGCTGGAAGGCATCTCCCAAACTGTTATTTTTCATTGTTAATGCTTTGCTCTAACAGTTATTTTCATCTCTAGTCCGTGTACCATTAGTGTGCAAACAGATACAGGTGGATAACTACCAATTTCAAGCGCTCTGGTTTCCAGCCCCTTCTGTTTCCCCTCACTGAAGGACTCCCCGCTGCAGATAACTGGAATTTTATTGCGTATCCCGAGCTGGCAGAGCTGTCCTCCAGCCTCTCAGGTTGTGTTTCAGCTAAAGAGGCTGCTGGAAAAGGCCACCCTGGGAGTTCTCTGGTGTGTGGGTGTGCTTGCAGAAGGTGTATGTTTGGAGGCAGTGCCGCAGGAACTGGGGGACATCGCTCACGGGCAGGCTGTGTGATGTGCTAAATTGAGCGGAACCCGTGTTCCAGCTTCCCAGAGCGTGGTCGTGCCCCAACGCCACTTGTTTACGAAGTTTGCGAGTCGAGGAGCGGAAGACGCGAAGATTCTGTTGAAAGTATAATTGGACGGGTAATATCTCGGGCCTTCTTGATGCCTCTTTAACCACTTCAGATTTGTAATGTGCCAAAAATAGCGGTGCAGGCTGCTGTGGCCGTGGCTGTGCAGCTGGGAATAGATTTTAATTGATGGCTCCTGTCAAGCCATGCAGGCAGGAGAACCATTAAAGTGAGATTTCGTGTCCCTGCTCACTTAAACACTCTGCTACCAAGTCAGAGCTGAGCTTTATTTTTAACTTGATATCATCAGCATTCGTACCAGGAGCTTCCTAGGGCCGTATCCTGGGATTTTGGGGTTTCCAGCAGCGAGCGCTGCTGAGTACTGGCTTCGTGTGCTGGTGGAGTAGATGGTGCTCAGACCCTGACAAAACCCCACCTGTGGAATAAGGGGCAAGCCCATCTTTGGAGTCCAGTTCAGGGGAGACTTTCTGAGCTGCATTGGAGCTCGGAAAATGCGTGGAGAGAAGGTGACAGTGACCTGGGGCACTGGGACGTGTGACCCTGCGTGGGAGTGGGCTGTGAGTGTTCCCAGAGGGACCTGTGGTCAGAAAGGCTGTGGTCAGGAGGAGAAACCTCTCTGATGGAGTCTGGGTCCTCCAGCGGGTGCGGGTTCCTGTGGTGGTTTGGGCTCTGGGCGTGTGCACCTTCCCAAGGGTTTTTCCAGGGAGCAGGACACGCTGTGCTTCCTGCACCCTCCTGCTGGCTTTGGAGCTGGAGCAGGATTTACTCTGTCCTACCTTCCCTGTCTCCTCCAAGGCACGGCAGGCCAAGCAGGTCACCAGCCAGAGAGCCCTGGCAGAGGTGGAGCTCCTTCAGTTTGCCCCGAGGCACGTCTGCATTCCCTGGCACCTCTCCAGCTCCAGGGCGTGCTGTCAGAGGAGACCAGAATTCCTCCTGTGCAGCAGGAGCTCATTTTAACTCAAGCTTTGGAGAAGAGGCAGGGAAGACTCGTGGCTGTTTCCTGTGAGTGTGCAGGACACCCCCCCCAACATTAAACCCAAAATCCAACCTGAATCCCGGGATACGCCCCTGCATGTAAAAAAAAAACCCCAACAAACCACAGTTACTCAGATTTGCGGATGCACGAACTGGGGAACTTTTATTGAAACTTCTGCTTCAGCGGGGAGGGACTGCGGTCACAGGTAGGACATGAGGAAGTTGCGCAGGCTGGCGGCCTTGGTGGTGAAGCAAACCACGAGGTTCTTCTTGCCGGCCTGCTTCCTGCCCATCGGCCTGCGGGCCATGGCCCTGCTCCGGTACATGCCCCTGCCTCTCTTCATGCGCTCGGCCTGGTTCATGTACCTCTCCTGTTCTCTTCTCGGGAGCTTGTGCCACATCCTCCCCATCCTCTTGGCCATCTGCACGACGGTCGAGTTGGGGTAGGAGGCCTGGAGCGACTTGCGGTGCTGGGCCATGAAGAGGAAGAAGGCGGGCAGCGGGCGGGCCCTGCTGGAGAAGCGAACGCTCTTCCTGCCACGCATGGGGCGTCCCCATGCCCGGCCTTTGCGCCCGGCCTGGGCGATGGGCAAGGGCTGGCCGCCGGGCCCGGCCCTCTGGATGGAGATGCGGAACAGCAGTTGGGTGCTCAGGGCCTTCCCCCCGCGCCGGCCGGGCGGGCGCGCCATGGCTGGGCTGGGTTAGGCTGGGCTGGGTTAGGCTGGGTTAGGCTGGGCTGAGCTGGGCTGGGCTGGGCTGGGCTGTGCTCAGCTGGGCTCGCTTGGCTCACTCTGGCTGTGTCTGGGCTGGGAGCTGGCGCTCTGGAGCTGCGTGGAGCGGCGGGGAGGCTGCGCTGCCTGTCCACGTGGGCTGCCGGAGCGCTCTGAGCCAGCCCGGCGGTGGCACCCGCGGTGACACCCGGGGCCATTGTGACACGCGACACCCCCCGGCCAATCGGGGCGCGCCACAGCTGCTCCCTGACGCCCTATTGGCTGGCGGGATGGGTGATGTCACAGCTGGCGTGGTGGAACGGCCTTGCGTTGACTTGGGGACGAGGGGCCGGGTGGGCACCGTTCCATATGGAACGCTGGGGCGGGCGGCGGGGGTGATGTCACTGTGCCAGCGGGGCCCACGGCGCCCGGGGCCCGTCAACGGGGGGGGCCAAATTGTCTTCCTGCAACGCTATTGGCCGATGGGCCGCGCTGATGTCACAGCCAAGGGGGTGGAAAAGCTCCTTGTTGACTTGGGAACGCGGCGCCCGATGGAAGGCCGGGATGTGTGGTGGTGTCACCGTGCCACCATGGCACATGGCTCTCGTGATGATCATGGCAGTGATGATGTCATGGCCGTGATGATGTCATGGCCGTGATGATGTCATGGCCGTGATGATGTCACCGCTAGGGTGATGTCATGGCCGTGGTGATGTCATGGCTGTGATGATGTCACGGCTGTGGTGATGTCACGGCTGTGATGATGTCATTGATGTCACCGCTGTGGTGATGTCATGGCTGTGATGATGTCACCGCTGTGGTGATGTCATGGCTGTGATGATGTCACGGCTGCGGTGATGTCACGGCCCCTTTGCTGGCTGTGTTCCTCCCCCAGCGCCGTTTATCACACATTTATCCCCACTCTACAAACCTGTAACACCCGAGGAGGGAACGGGATGCCTCTGGTTTTTTGTCATGATGAAATGTGGAGCCGCCGCTGGCTGCTGAGAGGTGGCAGCTCATAATGTGCGAATGGTTTAGTAGCGGCCCTAAAAATAATTGTATGTGGCAGCTGTTTCTTGGTTCCTGTCAGGATAACTACTGTTAGTTAAATCCACAGCCCTCGGACTACATGGCTAATTTGTATGGGTGGACTTTTCATTAATTTGAAGGGTTCTGGGGGTTTAAAAGCCTTCATTAATTACGTTTTAGTAGATGAAAACGTGAAAAGGTTCTGCAGGTTTGTGTGGGAATAAAAGAAATTCCCTGTGTTCTGTTTGCTCGTTTTTAGAAGGTGAAATCAGTTGTTCCCAGGAAAAGGTGAGCTAGGCTGTCCCTGTCAGGATTCTTGTGGCTGAGAACAGGACTATGAATAAAACAAATTGAAGTTTTGACCATTCATTCTAAGTACAAGGTGATTTATTGAAGTTCCCAGTAGTGTTAAATATTCATATGTAGCGGGTTGCATAAGGATTAAATTATGAAACAGCCCCTACTTCTGTAGAGCTCGTCTCTCTGAAAGGTAAAGATGGGAGGACAGAAGCCTTGGAAGGAGGGAGTCATGCCTGTATTGCACATGGAGAACTTTTTAATTGCACGATTCCAGTGCGATCATGACCTGTGTAATTGCTGGGCTGGCTAATTATGGCACGGAGGGGCAGCGACTCGTCAGGCTCGTGGCAGGAGCAAACCTGGGCAGAACGTGCTGGTGTTTCCCTGCTCCCCTCTCCCCCTCCTGTGTTTACTCTGGGTTGTTTTGCAGTGACGTCACACGGGTAAATAGAAGTGGAGCAGCCCCAGCCCTCTGTGGAACCACAGTCTCCCTCCCTTCGTGCCACGGCTCTTTTGCCGTTCCCGGGAGCACAGAGGGTGATTTGCATTCCATTTATCTCTCCCACTCTCCCTTCCGTTGTTTCTTTTGCTCTCCAAAGAGAACCTGCACTGGTGATTATTCTGGGGCAATGAAATAATTTCATTACAGCAGTCAGAGGTCTCTTCAGCAGGTGCTTTATTATCTCAATAATTCAGCCTAAGAGACTTTTCAGGCTCCCCAATTCCCAGAGTTCAGGAGCTACAAATAAAACTCTTTTGCTCTTTCCTTGATTTGGTTTATTTAGCCTCATTTTTTTTTTTCCTGTGTTCTTTCCAGATCTTCCCCAGGAATTGTATTTAAATGTGGAATTGATGATATTCAGTCAAATTGCCTCAAGGAGTGCATTGTGTTAAAATGCACATAAAGCCGGCGCGTGTCCCACTTGGGTTGGGTCATTTATAAAATTCACTTTGAATTGAGGCCATTTATCTGAACTCAGCAGAATGTTTGCTCATGTCCCTGGATTACCTACATATTTCATCAAAATAGGTCAACTTGGTTCAGGTAAATCTGGGATAGAAGAGCTGGAATAAGCACGGGTCGGTGTCGAGGTGGGGACGCAACCATCGATCTTGTCCCGCTCTTCTCCAGCACGGCGAGGTGTGGGAGGGTTTTAACACCCCTCCACTTCCATGGGGCTCTGCAGGCAGATACACCACGAAAAAGGAGCTTTATCACTCCAACTTCAGTAGAGGATTTTCACGTGGAACAGCAATTGTGAAGGGCAAATCATTTGTGGGGAGCAGAGCCCAGCAAAGCCCGGCTTTAGACACACCAAGACCGGGCAAAGCTCATCCTGAGGCTGCTGATCCTCTCTCTGGTATTTGTTTTATCATGTGAATATATATAAAGTCGTCCTGAAATTGTTCATTAAAGGGGATTTTTGTCTGTTTTTCTAACTGAGGTACATTCTCAGTGTCATCACCTTGTCTGGGCAAATGTGTCCTGAGGCTGCAGGGTGCCCACCTCCCCAGGTGATCTCTGCAGTGAACCCCAGCTCTTCATTTGGAACAAGGAGTTTTTACTGTTTCTTTAAAAAACTGAGAGTGAAAACAGCCCCTTGACAGAACCATCAACACACACACACACACAAAAAAAAGGAAAAAAGCAGGAAGATGAGAAAAATGTCACTGCTCGTAATGATGTTAATTATAAGGTAAATGAATGCTGGCATTTGTCAGCTGAGCTGAAGGGATCAGACGTGTGAAGGTGTGGGGGATCTGTGTGGAACCTCGTGGAGGGAGAAGCTGTGGAATGTCTGAGAGCTTTCCATGTCTTGTCAGAGGGAAGAAAGGAGGTGTTTTCTGTCCCTGTTGGTTCCCAGAATTACACACTGTGAGCCCAGAGATACTTTTAAAAGCTGCATCTCTTTGGACTCTTCCTTGGCCTGATTTGGGGTCACAGGAAAAGGTCTCAACGCGGTGATGGGACCTTACAAGTCATCTGGAAGATCTCAGGACACGTTCTGGCCACTTCTGTTGTTTTCTTCTTTCATTGAGGTGCTTTGCTTTCCCTCCATTCCTCGAGAGCCTCAGCCATCACCATCTTCCCTTTATTCCAGAGCCTGGGAGACTGGAGTTTTGGCTTTTGCAAGCTGGAGTGAGGAGTGCTTACCCTCAGGAGTGAAGTCATGCCCTGCCATCCCTGCCTTGGGTCATCCCCGTGGTTTTCCAAGGGAAAACATTATTACTGTGTTTTTTTTTTTTTCCCAGTCTCCTCTTTCCTACCATGGAGTCAGGAGTCAGGATCAGGGATCAGGGAGTGCTCCTTGCAGCTGCAGAGGGGCTGTTCAGCCAGGGAGGAAGGGGTTAAACAGCTTCAGGACCTTGGGCTGCCAGGCTCTCCAAGGGCAGAGTGCCAGGGGTGCTGCAATGCACCAGCTCCCAGTGCAGGAAAATCCTCTCTCTCTGGAGGTGCCTTGTCCTTGACCTGCAAACCCCTCCCAGAATCCCAGTTGGTCCCTTTGCAAACCCTGGGAAGTTTGTGCTTCCAACTCCCTTCTCCTTTTCCCCCTTTATTGTCCCAGCTGGGAGGTGACCAGGTGGGCAATGGCCTCTCCTGTGCTAAAAGGTGCCAGGTCTTCAGCTCTACCTGTCAGAAACTGTTCCCTTTCCCTACAATTCACACTACGTTGCCTTTTATTTCTGACCCTTTTTAATATGAGTAGTTACTCCTGTTTTCCACTTTAATGCAATTATCCTATACTTTGCCTATTCTATATTCCAGGGAGCTGACAAGCTTGTTCAGCCATTACATGGCATTAAATGAAGTAATTGCAATATTAGGTTCTTTCTTCCACGCCATAAAAAAAAAAAAAAAATGCTATTACAGAGTAAGTGCAGGAAACCGCCTGGAGAATTGGGTTTTTGGGCTGAAAGCTCTGCAGGCACATTTTTGTTGTGATTCTGACCACCCTGGGCTGACTGGGAGAAGGGAGCAAGGGCATTCCTGGGAAGATCATTTTCCTGCATTCCCTCAATGGTGTCCCCAGGGACATCATCTGGCCAGGTTATTGTGGTTATCAATATTCTCTCTTCAAGCTGGTAATACAAAAACCTGTTAAAATACGGTGGGATAATGCAAAGTGACCACCTGTGTACCATCAGGAGGTGGCGGCTCCTGGGCTGGCTGGGCTCACCCATCCCTCACCACCGAGGTTTTACTGCTTTAACTTGAGCCACAGCTCTGGGGGGGCTGCAGAAATACAGGCCAGGCTGCCAAAGCCACGTGTGAGGGAGGGCTCTGGGGACCTGCTCAGCAGTTTTTTCCAGGGGAATCATTGGAATGCCGTGTGTGAGTGCTCGAGTGCTGCCGGGCCCCTGATAAGATGCCGGCGGGTGAGATAACGGAGGTTCAAGGGGGGGCTGATCTGGGGGATGTTTCTTGACAGCAGCTGTGCTGGGATTGAACGTGCTGCCTGTTTTTCCTTGATAGTGAGGTCACCTCCCTCTCCTCCCCGCTGGGGGTTGTGCTTTGCGGGAGTTTGGTCGCGTTTGTCGACGGAACAGACGAAAATGCCACCTTGATTTTTGGTTGTAACGCACTTGCTGTTGGTTGCAGGTGCTTTTCGGGAGAGAGTCCCCCACAGGAGCCAGGTGGGGGCGTGTAATTTAATCTTCTGGCTGTAAAAATCCGTTTCTGGTCGTACTTATTGATAATTTAACTGTGACACAGCAAATAATGAAGTGACTCAGCTGCACTTTTGATAGAGTTATCATCGTGAAGGGTGATGGATACCAGCAGGTAGAGGAAGTTGCTCAGATTTTTTTCAGCTGATGAACAACTGTAACAATAGTTTTTTTCCCCCCAGTGATTATCTTATGTTGATTCTCTCCC